GTACAAAGCTTACCAAGAACATCTCAAGCCTTTATCAACTCTCAGTTATCAGGGTTGGCTCAGAATGGACAGGCAGGTATGATGCAGAACTCTCTCTTGCCGCAGCAGTGGTTGAAGCAAATGCCATCCATATCTGGTACAGGCTCACCTTCATTCTGCCTTCAGAGGCAATCACAAGCCCTCTTGCAACAGCAACTGGCATCTTCTTCCCTCAGTTGAACCAAAATCCTATGTCCTTGAACCCTCAACAATTGTCTCAGCTCGTACAACAGCAATCACGAATGGGACATCCTCAAATGCAGCAGCAGCAGCTACAACAACATCCTCAACAACCACCGTTGCATCAGCCCCAACAGCAGCAGTATCCTAGGATGTCTGGACCTGCAGGCCAGAAAACCTTCAGTTTGACAGGATCGCAGCCTGATGCAACTGCATCCGGTACAACTACACCTGGGAGAAGCTCGAGCCAAGGAACTGAGGCGACCAACCAATATCTTGGAAAGAGAAAGATACAGGATCTGGTTCACAGGTTTTTCCTGCTTATAATTATTTGATTTTTGTTCTCTTAGTTCCAATGATTTCTTCCTTCTTTTGTGTTAAATTGTATCATTCATCTTTGGCTGTGCTCAGGTTGATTCTCAAGGTAAGCTTGAACCAGAAGTTGAAGATCTACTTCTGGAGATTGCTGATGACTTCATAGACTCTGTAAGGATCTACTTTAAGGGCTTTACCTTGTTGATATTTTCCTTTCTGTGTTTGGAGTTATGGATATATGCATCTATTACTCAGTTTCTGGTGGTAATTAATCTCAAATCGTAATATAAATAATGTCAGAGGCTTAGTTGTTATAAACATAAACATGCTTAGCTTTGGGGTATTTTTTTGTCAGATGTAGCTTGAATATAGAAAAATATTTTTTTAATAACTCCGTGAAATTTTTCCTGCAATATTTTGTACTTGGCGTGAAGAGAAATCAAATATTGGGCTGACAATGGATGGTTTAGAAGACATTGGGTTTATTTAAATTATTTGATTTTTATGACTACGTTGTGATGGTGAAAATTTGTTTTAATCGGTAATTTTGTAATAGAAGTTCAGTTTTCTTTCAGTTAATGCCAATTAGCCATTTACTCACAGTCACAGCTATACAATTAAACTGCCCCTATGTACTGTTGTCTTTTTTTTCTTTCTTTCAATCTTTCTTCTTATTCTTCTGTGTCCTTCTTCCATTTGGTACATTCGTCAGCTGTTAAGCAATAATCTGCTTTGTTTAAAACTTACACCATTTTATTCATTTTCAGGTGACAACATTTGCATGCAGTTTGGCGAAGCATAGGAAATCGTCAACATTAGAGTCCAAGGATCTCTTGCTACACTTAGGTTTGTGCTTCATTATTTTTCATTTCTTTGGAAGAGTTGTGTTGATGTGATGGTACAATATATATTTGGTTAGTTCTCTTATTTTTATTACATGGGGCAAATTTCTGGAATATCTAGGTTTTCTATGATTTGAAGTATGCCGTGATGGCATCTGTGTTCTCTGATTTCTCTCATTTACATAATTGCGCAAAGTTACTTCATCGTTCATATTAATAACTATGTGCGAGTTTAAGCTTAAATTTACAACTTTATACATCTTGTTGCTGGCGGTCAGTAGAATTTCAAAAACTTACTATAATCCATGCTTAATTTTCCTTCCAAGAGTTGCTTCTGATTCACTCTTATATCATGTACATTTTGATGAAGTATGTATTACTTCAGTCTTGCAAAAAATTTTAGATGTTGGGTCTGCATAAGATAACTTATTATAGTTTCTTCATCCTTTAAGTGAAGCCAGTGGAGCTATAATGAATGTTGAACATGGATTATTTGCAGAGAAAAACTGGAAATTGACTGTTCCAGGATTTGCAAGTGAAGAGCGGAATCAAACAAGCCCAGTAAGCCTATGTTTGTTGTTTATGGATTTCAGTGCTCAAAATGTCTAAGAATTTGACTTCAACGTATGTGAATTCCAATTTCCTTTTAGGGTTAGGAACTCATCATTTAGCACCTATCTTTGGTAGTCAAAATTTACTTTCTCGATATTAGTCTTCCACATTTTACTTTGCCTGTTAGCTTGAAACAGTCTGAGCTATCCTCTCTAGCATTTGTGCTGATGTTATTTCCTTTTGCTGTATATGAAAATATATGATTATTTGCAAAACAAGAAAGATTACAACCGATGACGCTGTATCTTGTTTTCAAAATATGCAGTTATCCAGTGACCTCCACAAGAAGCGTCTTGATATGGTGAGTGAAATTTTCAGTATGAAAGTATAAAAGTATGTCCTACTCTCCTAATGACTTATACTTTATCCAAATTACTTGATAGATACAAGCACTGATGGAATCATCACAGCCTGAAGCAAACGCAAACAATCGTAAAGAAATGATAATACAAGGTCTTGGCAACCCAGTTGCTGCATCAAACCATTTATTGAGACCTTCACCAAGTTCCGAGCAATTGGTTTCACAAGCAGCTAGTTCGCAAATGCTGCAGCAAATAACTCGGTATTAACTGGCAGAATTTTTCAGTCATAGTTTGGTCCCATTTGAACATGCCTGTCTATCCAGATATAGTATTCGTAGGTGAGTAATGAGATTGACTTTCACTAATGATTAGTTTTTCCTCTTCATTTGCCACTGCCCAAATAGGTATTTACTTTCTTGCCTACTCATCCATGCATATGTTGTTGAGCTTATAGAATCCATGCTTAGTATGTATCACATTTGTATTACCTTTATATCAACAAGATGCATTCTCCACTGGTTATTTTTTCCCCTTTTTTGGATAACTTGTGAGTTTGTCTTCCCCAAACTTGGTAGGGCAGCGATCCTAATTGAATGAGTGGCTACATGTTTTTTCCCCGAGGATAAAATGTTTTAGTCGACCAGGCTAAACTTGGCTCCCGAACTTAGAATAGCATTTAACCCACACCAGCATTTGTGACAACCTGTAGTCCTGTAGTCAAATGAACCAGAGAGATTACATCTTTCTTAATCATGTCTAGCTGCTGAACTTCCCTAAAAGACATTGTTCGATGTTGTCTTTCAACAAACTATGTTCTTAAAGGGGATCACATTGTATAAACGTTTTAGTTTTGTATGTTCTTAAGATCTTTGGATAAGTGAAAATAGACAGATGAGATTAACAGAGATATTTATAGAAAAAAAACGAGATAATGTCAATCGTCTATTTCCACTCATCCAACGATCCTAAAAAGATGTAAAACTAAAAGTTTTATACTAGGAGTAAGTGGATCCTATGCCCCCTCCTCTCTCTCTCTCTATATATATATATAATCACTCATTTCAAAACTGGCCTTATAAATTGCCTTCTTTGCAGGTTATAATATAGTTAACTGAAGATTCTAAGATGTAGTGGGATGACAAACAGGATTAAAAGCTGTAAATTACATGGTAAAGTGATCAGAGACATGATGGAAGTGTTACTACTGCTGGAAATGATTTCTACACCATTTCATCACCTAACTTACCCTTTTCTATTCATGATTTATGTTGTTAACCAATTCTTCCTTTTATTAGGAAAAAAAGGGTTAGATTTCATGATTTTGGTTGATCCCTCATTAGGGTTTTTAGACATAAATATATGTATTAGGTTGTCAAAAGCACATTGATTCACTGATTTATTTTAAAATCCATTGTTGATTGAAAAGAAGAAATGACTCATTTATTGTTTGATATTACAATGCTGGTTACCATCCCATACTCTATTAAATTTTATATTAGGGAAAATAATTGAGTATTTATTACGGATTAATTCAGCATTAACTTACTTGAGAAATATTGAAATATCAATTAAAAACCATTTCTTAAGAATTGAACTCAATATCAATAGAATTTGTTTATAACTCTTTTATTACTCAAAATCATTTGTTGGTTTATTTTACTAAACAAATTTTACTTAAAAATTATTTTGTATTTTAAAAGTTATTTTTCCACTCAGAGAGTTAATTTGATATAAAAAAAAACTAGTAAAGTAAAAGATAATGAAATGAACAAGAAAAAAATAATTATTTTCACTTTTAAATCAGTAAAAATGTTATTTCATTGTTTAAGATCTCATATAAAATGATTATTATAAATGAAATCGAAAAGCTTTATAGTTATATATTTTATAGTTCAATGATTAAACGTGTAGTTTAGCTTAGACTGAAATACTGAAACCTTTAATCTTATCAACACGACAAGTTTTATAATTTTCATAGGATTCTTAAAAGGAGGGTAGTTAAACTAGGGCCTATCGCAACTAAAAAGGTTAAATATTAGGGTAAAGTATATAAATATTCCCCAAACTTTTAGAATGCTTACATTTTGGTCATTTAACTTTTGAAACTTGCAATACAATAATCGAACTTTTAGTTCGTTTTCAGTAAAATTCCTATTGTTACCTCCTTTAGTTTTTGCTGACATGGCAACTAACTCTCGTTAGTTTTTGCTAACATGGCAACTAACTCCCGTTAGTTTTTGCTGACATGGCACCCAACTCCCGTACAATCATCGAACTTTTAGTTCGTTTTCAGTAAAATTCCTACTGTTACCTCCCGTTAGTTTTTGCTGACATGACAACTAACTCCCGTACATTCTTCTTCTTCTTCAATATTATATTACTTCCTATTCTATGTATAAGTTGTAATTTAGTCTTTGTAATATAATTTAATATTTTAGTTTTTCACTTTTACAAATTTAATCCTAATTTAAATAATAATTAAATTCTATTATTAATTCTTATATTTTATATCGGTTATAGGTTTTGTTCATATATTATTTAATTTAGTTGTTATAAGCTCAATAATTTAATCATATTATCTCTATATTATTAAATTAAGATTAAAATTTAAAAATTTAGAAATATAAGATTAAAATTAATCAAATTAAAATATAAAGATTAAATACAAAATTTAATTATAGTACAGGGACTAATAACAGAGTTTGATCAACTTAAAATTCTTCCTTGGAGAAAGCAATTTCTTCTACCTCGCTCTAAAACTCGCATCCCGACTCGTGTCTTAGCTCAGGTAACCATGGCAGCAGCTGAGCCACCCAGTTCTGTTCGAAAAGGTCAATCATCGTATCCACGCTTTAGAAAGCTAATGAACTAATTTTTTGATTGCTACTCGAATCATCAAAACTCTTTACTTAAGCTTGGAATTTTGAGGTTTTCTATTAATTTTCTTGTCCCCAATTTATTCTATTTTTTTTTTCAATTTGAATGCAGTTGTTGTTCATCTCAGAGCAACCGGGGACGCTCCCATACTAAAGCAAGCCAAATTCAAGGTAGTTATTTGATTTTGCCCCCCTTTTGATTAGTTAATGCCCTCGAGAGGGTCTAGAATTCTTCAATCAACATTCTGGACTTATTCTTTTATGAGGAAAATAAACGACATCTCGATCACATGATGGGATAATTCTCCCGTTAGATTTTTGATAAATTATAATATCTAGTTTGGAGTTTTTATTCAAGGCTTGGCTTGAAGATTATGTAAAGCAATTGCAAACTGATGGGTCATGTTTTGATGGTGCATTGTGTATATCCTTGTAAATAGAAGCTATTTCATTCGGACCGTCGTAAGTGTCAAACACAGATATGTATCCAACACGGGTATGGTTAGATTTTTCTAAGATCTTTGGAGGTGATATCTCCATATCTAAGTGTCGGACACAGGTACTTAATGAAAAATGAGGAGTCCGAGCAACATAGGCCAGAAGCTTGGTTTAGTTTGCGCATAAATAAATTGTACAATTTTCGTTGATATTGCAATTCGAGTTGTGATTCACTTAAAACAATTGCTTAAATTGTGTTCTTGAGTATGCATTTGTGTGTATTCATTCAATATCTTCTAGCATGTAATGGTTTTCACTGAATGAAATGTATCATTGCAGATACCTGGAACTGACAAATTCGCTAAAGTAATTGATTTCCTACGCCGGCAACTGCACCGTGATACATTGGTAATTGATTTATGTCTGTTATATTTTTAGTTTTGTCAGATAAACTTCATTCTGTTGTTTGCATTAGTACTAATTTCTTAGCCCTTGTTTTTGCAGTTTGTGTACGTCAATAGTGCCTTCTCACCGAACCCAGATGAATTGGTGATCGACCTATATAATGTAAGTCATAATACTTAGTTCCTTTCTCTTGTTGATTTTAGTTATGTGAGTTAACTCTTTTGGAGTACTAATAGATTATTTAAACGGGAACTGACTTGCATTGCATATCTCCATTCATTTCTAGATTTTTTTCTCGGAAACACAAACTGTAATAGGAAAGAACAAAGATATTTAGCTCAGAACTTATTCCTTTATGCAAATGTTCATCATCAGAGACAACATGTTTTTCACTTGCACGATGACAATGACAAAAACCAATCAACGGCCTTTACTTTATGGCATTAACTTGGGCATATAGCATATGTTTTTTTCCTGATTTTTTTGTGCCTTAATGTATAGAGATAACTATTGACCTAAACCCAGCAACTGTTTTCCTTTTATCTTACATTGACAATGAGGCCCATAATGGCAGAATCGAATGAGTTTTCACATGAAATGGTCCATTACTTCTGAGACTTCAGTAGATTGGTCTGAGTATTCTGACAGAAAATGTTCATTGTGTTGAAAATAGATTCTCTTACACATCTGTTATATCCACCATTAGACACTTTAGTTTTCATAAGGACCCCTTGAAGATGATGACTTCTTCATGAAAAGAAAATTTTTCTTCACTTTACTGCATGATAACTGAAAAATGGAGTAAATTCTCTCTTAAGAGGATGCTACTCCATCACTTGATTGTCTCTCCTAACAAATTTTCAAACACATATATTGTAACATAGGAATTTTAATTACTTCGTTGGCCTTGTCATTGTTTATCTGTTAATCTAACCCAACCTGCCTTTGCATTTTCAGAATTTCGGTTTTGATGGTAAACTGGTGGTCAATTATGCCTGTTCTATGGCATGGGGCTAAGTCTCAAGATGATGGATCTACTGAGAATCTGAGATAAAACTGTCAATTATGTAAAACCTACACACTTCATTTGTTTCCTTTAAGTTCTCCATTATGCATAGTCCTTTTAGAACCATCCTCTTTAATATTGCCCTTTTTCCTCTTATATATGAAGCAAGGATTCTTTCCTAGCGGGTACTAGCTTCTTACTTCCACACAAGCAAGGTAATATCATGGGCGGTATTCAATATCAACTTGTGATAATTGTTCAATTCGTTATCATTGATTTGTAATTCAAGCCAATGGGCTAACGATAATCACACCCTTTTGTTTGTGTTTTCTTAATTAAAAAGAAATCATAGTTTGAGTTTGAAAAAAGGTTTCAGTTTGTCGACGTTAGGATTCAAATTCTATTTTAGCGATAATGGTTTTGTCGTCGAATATAAATTTCAGTGTTTGTAATACATGAGGACCATTGTAATGTCCATAGCATACAATGATCGGAATGATGGATGTTTTTTTTATAATATAAGGCAGAAGCCTAAAGGGAAATATCTATACTTCTTAAGGGCTATACCGTAGTCAAAGAAGTAAAGTCTTGCAAACTCGAAACATGTTTCCTCCAGGGAAGACGATAAAAGGTAGGTTATCAAAGTGGGTGACAGCAACAAATAGATAATCTTCCACTGGCTCTATACTGTTTGGTTCACAACTTTATCACAACAAAGCAATCCTAGCCACAAATTTCAAGAGCTAAGGTATTGAAACTGACCCATCATTCAAGTGCTTTTTTATTGCTTCCATTATCGAGACCTCAACAATCTGCAGGTGCAAAAGAAATCTAGTGTTGGGAAAGGGACAAATAAATTTGTACAAAATGTGAAAAAAACAAAAACGATGGGTGGGAATTGATTTTTTTTTTTGCCTGAATGAACCCTGGAATTGGATGTAAGATCTAACCAAGACCCGTTGTTGTTGTTCCTTGGTTTCCAATCCCCTAAGAATTGGTGCACTGGTTTTTGAGTTTCTTCATCTTTTTTAGCTTGATTGGCTTAGCTGACTTGATATCAGTGGCCAAAACAAAGCATTGCTGGTGATGCTGCTCTTCTTGTTGCCCAAAGCTTTGAACCGTTGCCAATGGTTGATATGAATCAGGAATAACCCTTACACCCTTTGAAGCTTCGGGGAAGAAGATCTTTCATCAATTCCTTCCCTTGTTCCATGAAGATACCTATTAAATAAAGAACAAGCAACTTTCACTGATATAATACAGAGATGAAAATGTAAAATGGTTTATTCGAACTATTAAAAAAAAAAAGAACCTGTAATCAATTCCAGTTGCAGAATCCAGGAAATGGTGAGATGGAACTGATAAGCCTGATCCAGGAAGTCTTGTGGAAGTGGAAGAATGGGAATAAAGGAAAGGGTCAAAATGGGTGTAGGTTTCAGAAGCCATGGGTGAAAAAGAGAATGAAGTGGTATTAGAGTTGGAAATGGAAAGGTTACTATTGATTGATGGGAAAGATGTTGAAAGGGTTGAGCCTGTTGTTGATGTCGATGATGATGATGAGGCATTAACTTCCACATACTTTCTTGAACGGTTTCTGCCTCTATGCATGTGCCTCTCACAGTACTTGGAATCTGGGTAAGCTTCTTTTGAGCACCTCCATTTCTTCCCATCTGTTCTCCTGCACCTCCCTGGCTCTGGGTCTGGTTTTCTGCCATAACCCACCTGAAAACAATCCCACCCAGCTGCAACCACAACCATACACCATGAGTGCCAAAATCATTATACATGTATGTATGTATGTATGTGTGTGTGTGTGTGTGTATGTATGTATGTATGTATGTATGTATGTATGTATGTATGTATGTATGTATGTATGTATGTATGTATGTATGTATGTATGTATGTATGTATGTATGTATGTATGTATGTATGTATGTATGTATGTATGTATGTATGTATGTGTATGTATGTATGTATGTATGTATGTATGTATGTATGTATGTATGTATGTATGTATGTATGTATGTATGTATGTATGTATGTATGTATGTATGTATGTATGTATGTATGTATGTATGTATGTATGTATGTATGTATGTATGTATGTATGTATGTACGTATGTATTGCAGATACTTACTGTGTTGTTGAGGGAAGAGGTTTGGAGACAAAGAAGAATCAAAGCTTGTTTTGGCAGAGTAAATGAGTTGAGGTGGGATAGGAACTCCTGAGACCATGTACTTGAAGATGAGAGCTTGGTGTTCAAGCTCTTGCCATTGCTTGGGAGTGAAAGGGCACTTGTTTCTGGCACTCATCATCTTTAAAGTAGAACCAAAAACTAACCTCAAAAGTATATATGTATATGTATATATATATATATATATATTCTCTGATGGGAAGTATAAGAACAGCGAAGACCCAATCTAAAGAGCTCTCTGAATGACAGAAAAGAGGGGCTTATTGCTTCTACTTGTGCTGCTGCTTCCTTCTGTTGCTGCTTTTTATTATTATTTCAACCGTGGCTTTATATATGTTAATTACGTAATGTCATGCTAAAATTTTAGTTCATTATTTACTCGTATACAAATTTATATATTGATAGTATATTAGGTATTATTGTTAAGTATTTATTTTTTTAAAAATATAAAAATGAGGCCAAAGTTAACACTCTTGCACGTGTAGAAGGAAGACCATAAGTATCTGTATGTAATGTATTAAGCAAACTATCTGGAGGTGTCTTAAACACAGAGGGTGTCTCATCCAATAATGAATTAACCTTAATTATGCAATCAGTTGTCTCATTAGTTTCTCGTCGAATCAAATGAAAATCAACAAATCAATATTTACTACAAATGTTACAGATGGCTCTCACCAGAGTATACGACTCTTGAAGTCGATGAGAAGACCTTGATTTTGATAAATTCACCTGTGAATTGAAAGATACTAACGCTTAAACTTTTTGAATTCACGTCTTCGCGTATATTAACATGCAAATTGAGTTGGACTCGATCAATAAAACATTAAATAAGAAGTAAAAGATTATTTATATGAATATGAGATCTTTATATAAAGCAAACAAAGGTTATTAATCATTGACAACGTGCGCACACCCTACAGATGCAGTTGCTCGAGAATAACATTCTCTTAAACCATTTGATTTGATAGGTTGATGAAATCATACTTTCTGAATAATAATAAAAATGCGGGTAGTGAATTTCTTGAGCATCATACTGTTCACTGAACTGGAGAAGGATGTGTCGAATACTCTTTTTAAAATAAGATGAAACCGTATGGTGGCAAAGCTAGATGTCAAGGTAGAAGAAAGATCGTCATAAAATACTCACTAATTGGCTAGTCTTTATTTCATCTACATCACCAATCCATCATGTTATCATAGTCAGAGACTTTGACTTCCATAGAAATAGTAAAAACCAGAAGCTAAACTTCTTCATCCAACCCATAAACCAATAACTAATACCATCATATTCATTCGTTCAAAATATAAACCTAAAAAATAACTGTTAGCACCAATCTCAGTGATCTAAAATTATATAGGAAATCGAAAGTTTACATTTTGCTTTAGTTCTTCTCTAGGCCCTTTGCAAACAACTTGTCTTTCGCAGCCAAAAGGATTACGGACAAGAATCTCTAGTTATGGAAGCCAGTTAGCAATGCTACAGTTAATTTAGTTATGGCTTCAACTATAGGGAATGGTACATAAACTGTACCTGAAGCTTTTTTTCGTGATATCTAGATGTCAATCGTGCAGTAACTACAAACTTCAGAACAGTAATCAGCATATTAAGATGCATATATACGCACTGAGCTACGGATTGCCATGCGGCAAACAGGGCACTTTGGCACCAATTCCCTTTCAACTGATATAGCACAATGTTGGCAACAAACCAGGTGCCCACATGGGATAAATGCAGACCTTCTTCTCCTCATCAAGCAAATCACGCACAACTCTCCATCTGGAACGTCACCCGTCTCTTCCTCCAAATCAATCTGAGAGGTGGATTCATCAGCGGCAGCACTGGTTGATTCTTGAATCCGTCTTTGCCTCCTTTCTTTCCATTTATTCAAGTTCCTGAAAGAAATTTATTAACCAAACTATGTTCATCTTTAACCAACAAGGAAAATGTGCATAACTGCACAGTTTTTCAGTCTACAGGTTTTTATAGGAGATAAACCGAATGAACCTTTCAGCAGTATGAGAAAGAAGAAAAAAGATCACTAGACTCGAACAAAATACCTTACAAAAGCATAGCCAAGGATACCGATAGACAGTGAACCAAGGACAATACCACTCCAGAACAGAATTTTTGACTTGAAGGCAAGATCTAACAACATCTGATCTTTAGTCATCTCAGTACTGCAGTTGCAAGCAAAGAAGAGGTTTGTAAGACAAATGTTTGAAGAATGGCATCGACATTAGAATTTAAACTGGGTTATGGCCATTTTCAACTCCTTTTCTTTTGTTCTTGCTAAGCAAATAACAGAATGAAACATGGAACTCGGAAAAAAACAGCAAACTAAATTCCTAGTACTTACAAGTATCGGGAAAGTCCTAATAGAAAAGTGATAATTTTGAGACAAAGCTAGGTTTTCCTAATTCAGTTATAAGCACGCAAGCATGAAATTTCCTAGTCCTATAAGTAAAAAATTAAAAAGCTAATGCTGTCTCCAGACCACTTACAGAAAAAAGGGAAGGTCCTTGCATGACTTAATTTCAGGCACTCCGTTATTTAGACGACATATGCCAACAGCACTGATTTCCTTTCCCAAGGGAAGAATTTTCTCTTCATCTAGCAGACCAACCTTAAAAACAGATATGATCATGAATTTTCATACAGGTGACATGCCTATATAACAAATGATGCAACACTAACTACGATAAGCAACAAATATCTTTAAATTTTAGCTTCAAAGGAAGAAATAAGATCTCAATTTTTCTTAACTCACAGGGTATTCATGACCGAACAAAGCCTGAAGGAATGTATACGGCGAAGCATTGATCGGATGCAATTGATGATAAACTGTAGTGAGAGGCAGAGGATGCTTCGAGCCATCCATGTTCACAATGACAAAATCAGATTGTGGCCATTGACCGCCGTCAATTAAAATGAAAGGAACCTGCAGAACATGAAAACCGAAAACAGAACAAAATTCCAATGCTTGAAAATGATAAACCAAAAAGAAACTCGAACGCAAAGCATAAGATTACTAAAACAATCAAGCATTAAAAGAAAAAATAATCACTTTCTAAAATTAAGGGAAAGTTGGAAGTTTTGAACTTACTGTTCTCATTGAAATCGACTCTTTTTTATTCCATGATCTCCCAATAATAGCACGTAAATCAGAAGTCCATCCAAACAATCCCCTCCATTCATGGTAAATATACTTAAATTTCAAAAAACAAAAAAATCAGAACTTCAATAATCATGTTATAAATATATATAAAAAATAGCACTTTTTGTTTAAGTCCATACAGTTTGCGTTCTTTCGATGATAACAGCTTTATCACCGGACTCCTGAGAGACGAGCGCGTTATTCTTATGTCCCTTCAAGCTCCGTCCATCGGCGGCTGATCTAGCCTCGATGGCGCCGCGAATGACGACAATAGGTTCCTCGGCGAAATCCGACCTGTCCTCTTCGAGGAGCGAACGGAGGTCGGCGACGCGGAAGTACGGTGCGCCGCGGATTTTTCGGAGGGCGGTGGAGGTCGCCTTGAACCGGAAGATTGTACGGAAGGCAGCGTAGGCTAGGGCAGCACCTAAAACGGCGCCGTCAAAAGAGAGAGCGAGTTGTGAGATTAAGGAGGCAACGGCTTGTTCATGCGAGGACATATTCGTAATTGTTTACTTTTTACTTCTCTTCTACATCGGAAGTCACTTAATCGACGTTTGAACGGAAAAAACCGACAACGGCGGGAGAGAGACTGATCGAGCGCACGAGAAAAGACAGAGAGAGAGAGAGAGGAAGTTATTTTTTTTAGAATAAGTTCGTCAATTCGAAAATGTCGATAAATGTTAAGGGGTTTTTTCTTTAGGGTAAACTACCCAAATGTCATTAAATTGTAGGTTTAATATTAATTATATTATTAAATTAAAAAATATATAATTAGGGTTAATTATTCCTATCATATATGAACTAGACTCGATTATCAGTTTCATACATAATGTTTAAAATTTTTTGATTTTATACATGATATTTTTTGCCGTTAACGGATTCACCTACTTCTGTCACGAAAAGTGACGTGGACCCTACGATAACGACAAGTGGCACATTGAAAATATGTTTTTTATTTTTAGATAAATTACACCATTCATCACTCAATTATCTTTTCACTCTTATTTTAGTCACTAAAGTTTATTTTTTTTAATTTAATTAAATATATATAAGATTTCAGTAAACCATCATGGCTCAACAACCTTCTCCGTGGCGGGGTGATTATGGATGTCGTCAACGCCGAATAGGCTCGAATCGTCGAAGAAGCCGAAACTTGAATCGTCATGGCTCTTGACCGAGTCCCCTTCGATATCCGAGCTCAAGGCAACGTGGCGTGGATGAGTGACCCATAACTCGTCAAGGAAATCAAGCAGGCTGTGACTATCCCTATCAGGCTAAAGCTCATATCAGTAATTTCGTCGAGGCCCACATCCTCGAAGCCATTGGCATCGATTATGTGGACTAGGGATAGGTTCTCACTCTTGCCGACGAAGAAACCACATTAACAAACATAATTTCCATATTCCTTTCGTGCCAGAATTTGGGGGAAGCGCTTTGGAGAATCAGAGAATGAGCTGCTATGATTCGGACCAAAGGTGAAACTGGAATCGAGAATCATCAAAGTCGTTAGGTACATCAGATTCGTGATGGGTAATATCAGAGTTCTTAGGAACATGGATGAAGATGAAGTTTTCACCTTCGCTAAGAAAATCTGGTCTCCCTACGATTTGGTTATGCAGACGAAGTAGCTTGGGAGGTTGCCGGTGGTGCAGTTCGCCGCAGGCAGAGTGGCGACGTCGGCTGACGCGAAATTGATGATGCAGTTGGGATGTGATGGAGTGTTTGCGGGCTCTGCATGAATATTAACTTTGAAATGTACCAATTCCTTATGATTATTATATTTGGGGTTGAAGGAAAATGATGTGAAGAAGCTTAAGTTGCTAAACCCATTTGGGGAATTTTTAAGAAGTTTATTGGTTTGTGATTTGGGGTTTGAGTACAAGATTTAAGGACTTTAATTAATTTATTTTTATTTTAATTTTATGTAATAACAATATTAATAAAATAATATTAATAGATGCCACATCATAAAAAATATTAATAAAATAAATTTCAGTTATTAAAATAAGAATAATTCTATAGTTTAATAATTAAATTAAAAAAATTAAACTTTAGTGACTAAAATAAGAGTGAGAAGATAGTTGAATGATGTAATTTACCTAAAAAATAAAAACATGTTTTTTAAGTGTTACATGTCATTTTATTAGTAGTAGTAGGGTTCCACGTCACTTTCTGTGACGGAAGTGGGTGAATTTATTAACGGCAAAAAAATTATGTATAAAATCGAGAATTTTTAAACATTATGTATGAAACTGAGAATCATGTATAGTTCTTGTGTGAATGGGGCAATTAACCCATATAATTAAAAGTGAGCATTCGATCAAAGCAAGTTAAATTTTTTTGAGTTATTCGAGTTGATGAGTTCAATTTAAAATTGTAAAAAATGATTATCGAGTCGATTCGAGTTGAATTATTCAAATTTCTATTTAAATTTATTTTTAAATAATTATAATATTAAGATACTATTTAATTTCAATCTAAACGGTTTTCTATGACATATATATATATCTTCATATTTTTCATATGTAATATACATATATCGTGAGAGTTTAGGGAAACGACTCAAACTTTAAAAATAATCAACTAATTACTAAAAAAAATTAAATTATTCAAGTTCCATTTTACAATTCGACTCAAATTTAAAATTTTTAAAGTCGAATCGAGTTTACAAAATTATGAGTCAATCCAAGACGAAACGAGTCAAATTTTTTAATTTTTTTTACGAATCAAATTTTACTCACCCTAAATATTATTACAATATTAATTTTTATTTTTGAAACAATGAAAGTGGTGGACTATTAAAATTTAAATAATGTGATGCTATATACATATCCTTTTATCATGCACTCTTAATTTTTAACTTGTATCGGTCACTCATCTAATATTTAATTTCTGTTTGGATCATCAATTGTTAATTTTTTAATAGTGTATGATTAAAACAAATAATTAAAAAAAATAAGAATTAAATAACTAAAACAAAAACTAATTGATATGTGGGTGACTAAATAGTTATGCCCTATAAATAATTGCTAACTATGCTTAAGACACGACCCGAACAAGTCCTCGCCTCTGCATCTTCAACTCGATTCGATTTCGAAGTTTTCAAGGTTTTCGAATTTCTCCCCCTCGATCTTCATCTCACCCTCTGCCGCGGGAAGCTCCTAAAATCTCTGCTATAGTCAATCTCTTTGCAAAGGTAAGTTCGAGCATCCTTTCTCCACGTAGGGTTTCGTTTTCTTTAATTTTGAATATGTTTTCTTCTTTGTTTCTTTGAAAGATGAGAAATTAGGCTTCATAGATTGGGAACCAAATCATCAATTTATTTGTGATGTTAACTTTAAGGGTAAAGCCAAAGGCAATGGAAGGAGAAGAGGATTTGCCTAGGGATGCTAAGATTGTCAAGTCTCTGCTTAAATCAATGGGCGTTGAGGAGTATGAACCTCGCGTTATCCATCAGTTTCTTGAGCTATGGTATCGCTATGTCGTGGATGTATTGACGGATGCGCAGGTTTACTCCGAGCATGCCGGGAAGCAAACCATTGATTGCGATGATGTCAATCTTGCTATTCAATCTAAAGTCAATTTCAGCTTCTCACAGCCTCCACCCAGAGAGGTTGTTTTGCTTGAAAACTTTGTTTTTCCTTACTTGACATTTAACTAAATTTTTGTTATCGTATATCTTGTTATCGCTTGCTGGGTCGCAATGTGAGAGCTTGTTGTCCTCTGTCGGATTCACAGCTCTGTCGAGGTTTTGTGACCCGAAGAGTCAAACCTGTGGTGGCACACCTTAGTGGGGGTAAAACCTTGAGAGAGTACCCGAGGACAATTCAGATTACACTCTCATGGTATGGTCTTATCGTTGGGCCAAGTTTTGACAAGAAAGATGTTTTTCTATGTCACAACTTGAGTTAGCTTGTTGAGTCTTGTCATGAGTGCATAATTTGGAATGCCTTCTTTGAGTATCTGTAAGTCCTCAAGGTTTTGCCCGGCCTGAAGTTGCACTGTGTTGAGTATCATGAACACATAATATTATTGTTCTCTTGGGGCATCCACACCAAGGATTTGCCAGCCAGAGGCGTATCTCCTTTGGTTCAAATTCAGAGTTGGGGATATCCTGAATTCGATTTCGAAGAGACATACCTTCAGCTGACAAAATCAATCTGTGGCGTCTAAAAAAAATAACATTATCGACCTGTGCTCATGATGTTAGTTCTATGCAACCCGGGGATTTTCTTTTGTGCGCCTGCTAAAATAACATAATTCTTGTGTTTCTGTTCCTTCCCCCGTTTTTTTAACCAATCATTTCATGTTCTTTCTTTGTTTCAATGGCAGTTGATATCATGTTTTTGAATGAAGCTATATATGAATAAAGATCTTGAAAATGGTTTTATACATTTTATGTTGTTAGGTGCTTTTGGAGTTAGCAAGAAAAAGGAACAAAGTTCCATTGCCAAAGGCAATACCGGGGCCTGGAATTCCCCTACCACCTGAGCAGGATACATTGATATGCACAAACTACCAATTTGCTATCCCTAAGAAGCAACCGGCTCAAGCAATGGAAGAGACTGAAGATGATGAAGTAAGTGCTGAACCTAATTCGTCGCAAGAGCAGAAGACCGATGTGCCACACCCAACATCTCAAAAGAGTATCGTTTCCTCTCAATAAGCGCTCCAAGTGAGGATACGTTTTTGTAAGATGTTTCAACTGTCCATCTATATAGTATAGGATAATATTTGCTTTAAGTTTCATCATATGTTCATCAAAGAGAAGGTTGATGTTTCATCTGTTATCATGATGGAATGGAATGTATCTTTGTAATCTGATTCTAATATTAGTGTTAGTGTTGCAATTTGTGCACTATTTTCCTGTATGCTTGTGAACTATGTGCGATTGAACTGTCAAAAGACATGATGCACAAAATCAATGGAATTAATGGAGGAAACGACAAAGAAATCAATCGTTTAATTCATTGTTGAATCCAGTTAGTTTCATAGGAATGGAACCATATAGCTTTGTTCTGTACAAATACTTTTCATTTTCACACTCGGATAAGCATTTGCTCCCCCCCTCCCCACCTTTGGATTTAGCATAAAGAAAGAATTGAAGAGGGTCAACTTCTTGAGGCAACCATAGTACTAGCGGAACTTCCGGAACTGGAAACAGGGAGACCTCGGTTATACATGCGCTGTATCTCTTCCCTGTACTCTGTCAACGACTTGTCAGGTATGGATGGTGTTAGTTCCACAACATCACCCATCTCCAGCCTGCATGTAGCATCGCTCACTGGCTCATGGTTCAGCCTTGGCCTCAATTCTTCCTTCACAGGAAACCCATATGGTGATGATCTCGAGCTTCCTCTCCCATCTCTTTCCAGCAAATCCATCATAGTAGAGTTTGCCGGAAACTCTTGCACTGACATCTGTAACATTCATAGCAACCATTAATATTCAGACCAAATTTCCATTCTCCATTAATCAATCTTTCAACAAGTAAAACGAATCACTCCCAAAGCATAGCATATAGGTTTACTTCACAGATGCCTTCCATGTCAATGGAAAGATGGCATTCAAGTATGTGGGCTGCAATGACCATGCCAACGTCAAAAAAACGAAGTGCAATTTAGGAAACATACCTTATCATTTTCAATCATGATAACAAAGACGGGCCCATCCTGGCTGAAGTGAGGCATATAAGAGAATGGGCAATCATCTGAATGAGTAGGGAAGGTGCAGGGTGGCTTGACAGAATCAGTGTAGCTGATTGAACATTGGTCCTTGCTCATTGTTTCACAGTGCCAAGTCACAACCCATCGAGCCCACTCAATCATCTGAAGTACAAATGAAGAGTACTTACAGTCACCTTCCTTGTATCTCCAATGAGCTGCAAAGCCGAACTCAGCTTGCAAATGCATCTCCTTTGTTCGAATTTGAACTTCAAGTGGAATTGCAACTTCACTCATCACCACCGTGTGCAAGGACTGATACCTGCAAATTAGAAGGTAATTTTGCATTTTTTATGGATTCCATCTAAAAGAACAAACTGAAACTTGTTAAGCTATAACATACCCGTTAAATTTAGGGTGGCCTATATAGTCCTTTAGCTTTCCGGGTACTTCAGACCATAACTGGTGAACTACTCTCAAAGCCTCATAACAGTCTCCCTCGTTTTCAACAATGATTCGGAGTCCATGAATATCATGGATTTCATCCATTGTCAACTTTTTCCTGCAAAGAACAATATAATTACTGTTAACAATGGCCTACTCCTTCACCCTTTGATTATTCAATTGTTGACAAATTTAAGAAAAGATTTTATCGAAAGATGTGCCTACTATGAGAAAATATTAGATTTTCAACTAGTTAGACATGTAGACAACAGCGCGTGTGTGCATGCGCCTGTGCAAATGCAGTGTGAATATCTCTCAATTAAAGTCATGCATAGGAGTGAATGTGCATGTAAAAGAATCTCTCCATGGTCCTCTGCCTGCCATGGGTGCATGTGTGTGTGTGTATGAAAAAGAAAGAGAAAGAGAGGGAGAGAGAGAGAGAGAGAGAGAATGAGAGACAGAAATAGCATACTTCAACATCTTTGAATAAATGCTACATAAGCTTTTATGTCGTCCAGAGAGAACATGGTAAGAAATTTCTTTATCCTTCAACGCGCTCTCGAGTTTCTCTATAGCAAAAGTGATCATTGCCTCATCAAAGGAATCCACAAGCCTAGATGACAGTTCTTTGTGCTGTTCTGGATTTAGATGCTTGAAACATAGATTCTCCAATTGCTCCTTCCAGCTAGAGATTCCAAACCGATTGGCCAACGGTGCAAATATTTCCAAAGTCTCCTTAGCAAACCTCTGTTGCTTGAGAGGAGGCAAAGCATCTAGTGTTACTATGTTATGCAACCGATCTGCCAATTTGATAAGCACTGCTCTTGCATCTGCCATGGCAAGGAACATGGTGTGAAGGCGATCTGCTTCAACAGTTTTGCTTGCTGTATTATTTTCTCGTGCTAGCTTGCTCAGATGGCTAAGTTTAGAGACCTACATGGATGGCATGATAATACCATGATCAGAATCTCGCGATCTCACATATCCATTCAAAAGAATATTGATTTCTATAATTCGATAAAGGATATTAAAACAAAGTGGCGGCAATGAATTTGCTTCCTATAATGCTATAAATTGTCATCTGCAACCATAATAAAGCTACAGCTATTCGCCAGATTCAAAATAAGTAATAGACCAGTGAATATCATTCGCATATTCGGTCCTAAAATATGACATCACAACTGGTCTTTCATACTTGCACCATATTGCTAATTGAATACACCAGAATTTCAAATGCAACACAAGCTAATCCCATCAGTAAAACAATTTGGATTAGTAAGAACATCAATACATCAACCAATACAGTATACAAGCGAAATTCATATCTCTTACCCCTTCAACTAAATCAGCAACCCCAGCATCAAATTTCCCTAAAATGTAATCATAGCTCAAGAATGCATCATCGAGGGTGTCGTGTAAAAGCCCTGATGCAACCACTGTGGAGTTAGCACCAATGGATGCCAACAACACTGCTGTTTCTACACAATGTTGCAAATAAGGATGCCCGCTCGCACGCATCTACAGACACATAACATTATTATTTTTTTGATAGAAACAGACAAAGAACATTATAGAACCCTTATAAACATGGAGAGACCAGCAGAACATCAATAACAAAACATTATTATTATTGAATAGATAAATAACAAAACATTAATTTCTTTGTTTATACCTGTCCTCTATGCGCCTGCTCGGCTTCGTAAAATGCTTTGATTACAATATCATCGGAAAAGATTTTATGCCTCATTTGTGCACCTAAAAGCAATTCCTTAACATAGGGATCTGAATTTACTTCCTCCATGAAATAATCCTCCATAGTGAACGGCAATTCATCGACACAACTGCCACTTTGCACCTCGGAACTCGGGGAATCATAATGAACACAAGATCCCAATGCACCCCTAATGAATCCATTGAACAGACGATTTGTCCCGACACGAAACGAGCCCTGAAAATTCACATCCCCTCCCTTTTCGCGAACAATTCGTATAGCAGGGCTGCTGCTACTACACGAAACCGGGCCCTGAAACACTGAAACCGGACTCTGGTTGGCTTTCAAAGAAGAACCACTTAATTTAGTCGATGAGTAACAAAATGAACTGTTTAATTCCTTCAAATCTTCCCCTCTATAGGACCCTAAATCCTCTCCCCCACTACTGGAAAAGATTGATTTTGCCGTGGATGAGGAGAAGAGGCTCGATAGGCCACCGGCAGCAGGTCTCTGGGAAGAACCGGAAGCTGTCGTTGAGGAAGTCGATGAAGATTTCGAATTCAAATCCAGATCGTAAGAAGCGTGAGAATTCATGTTGATCTGTATAGGCGCCGAGCACACGCTGCTCGGCGTGCTCCTCGGTGGACTAGCGTAAAGAGCTATTGTCGAAACAGCCATAGTTTGCGAACAACCAAGATAAATCCCCCAAAAGAAATGGTTTTATGGTTTTAAAACTACTTAAAAGTCAAAACCCAGAATTTCCCCCAAAGAAAAACCTGTTTTTCTCAGGATCCAAACAAATTTTCCCACAAAGGAAAACCCCAAAGCCAATGAATTTCTTAAAGGAGACCCAATTGAAACCTTAAGAGTAAGAACTAAAAAAGTAAAAGAAACCTCTTCGATTCTAAACGTATATTTATACTGTCATACATATGAATATATACAAACAAGCATAAAAGAAAAAACAAAGAATCAAAAGGAAAGAAATTGTTTTGAAGAGAAGATTGAGGTACAGTATTTACAAATATATAAGCAAATTTTCCACTTGTAAGTCGAAATATTAAAGGAAAGAAGAGGGAGTCAACAAAGATGCTGGATTTTTTAAATGAAATCTTCACATTGAAAGAGAGGGCTCAGCTTTCCTTTCTTCTTCTTTGATTTTTTAAATTACGAATGTACCCTTGCTGATTAACCGAATTAACTGAATTATGACAATTTCCAACGTTGTGGATAATCTCGATTTTTGGTTAATTAAATACTTAATGATCTGCTGTCGTTGTGACTTAATTTTGAAGGAGATAAAATTTGGTAATATCATACTTGAATTTGAAATTTAGTCTTTGTAATTTATTTTTACGTAATTCGGTCTCTACTTTTGTAATTAGTTAGCTAATCCAAATAGTTCATGTCATCTTTTCAAATTAAAATATTGAGATTATGGGTTGATTATATGATAGATTCGAGTCAAATCAATTTTACAAGTAAAATTTTATCATTCATACTTTATTTTTAAAGAGTTTGAGTGTATGAGATTTGATTCGAGTCGAACCAAATATATTTACTTAAATTTTTTGTTTTTTTAATATAATTTTATAATATTATGATATCGATAGATTTTAATTTAGACGCTTTTTTCTAATCATATATAGTATATGTATTCTTCATATTCTTTTTTTACAAATGTAAGAAAAAATTATAATGTTATTTAATATGTCAAATATCTATTAAAAATATATTCTATATTTATAATGTTATTTTTTTATTAATATAAGGTAAGTAAAAGATAGTATCTGTTCAAAGATAATTCTCAACCATTTGACATTGATGATGTATGTTCAAAGGTAAGTACAAGATAATATATGTTCAAAGATATCTCTGACACTTATGATGTTCGAAGTTGGGACTTCAAGAAATAATAATTATAATGTTATTTTTAAAATAATAGATTTTATAGAGAAAATATTGAAGAAAGCATAAAAGAGTTAAAGAATTTATGGTTAGAAAAAATTTATAAATAATTAAACGCGATGATCAAATTAAATAAAACATAAAATTAAATATTAAAAAATAGGAAATTCATTATTAAAATAAAAGAAACTAACATTAACATGTAATATACAATGGTTAAAAAACATA